GATTTGATTTGATTTGATTTGATTTGATTTGATTTGATTTGATTTGATTTGATTTGATTTGATTTTATTTTATTTTATTTTATTTTATTTTATTTTATTTTATTTTATTTTATTTTATTTATTTTAATTTGATTCAGTTTTATTTTTATTATTTTCTCTTATTCTTGTTTATTTTATTTTATTTTATTTTACTTTATTTTGTATTTCCTTTTTTGGCAAATTTTTTATAATTTTCACTTGAGGGCTACCCTAATATTTGTACTTACACACATACCTTCGCAATGACTGACAACCGGCTAGCTGTTATGACACCAGAGTTCAATTGTGCAGTTCATAGTTTTATGATAGCAAAAAATTTCTGCTACGTTTTCTTTTTTGCAAAGTCAAAACAAATGTAAATAAACAACCAAAACAAAAAAAAATAGCTAACTCAAAACAACAACAAGTATCAATTGGCGCTCAAACCATTTAGACACGACATCGTTTAGAACAGAGTGACGAGTAGAGAGATCTGTAACTTTGATTATAGTACTACTCACCGTACAGTACCTACACAATAAGCCAAATTGAGGAGCTTACAAGCGAGAAAAACCATTGCTGGGGAGCTTGCTCTTCGTTGTACTTAGGTTTCAGTGCAAGCAAAAAAGGTGACGTTTTTTCTTTAACACAAATTTATCATTTACAGGGAATATTCGATCTTCACACGAGGTTTGAAAGAATTAATGCATACATATTCATTAATGCATACATACATACATATGTTGGATTCTTGGAAAATTGTATCAATTAATTGAATAAATATGTACAGTCTAAGTATTTTTTAACGCCTTCCTACTGGGGTATATGCTTACATATGTACTATGTAAAGGGTGTTTCTCTTTAGACATGTGGTTTTCAAGAAGAAATAAACGCATATATGTAGTTTAATGTTATAGCCAAGAATTTAGCTTTATTATAAAGATAAGGGTTTGCCATTATGTTTTAAAAATGATTTCGGGCAAGTGACCGCCGCGGCTGACTCGAGTAAATTCCAGCCAAGAGGCCCAATTTTCGATCACTTTTTGCAGCAATTGGGGCCGTATGTCAGCAATAACTCGCCGAATAATCTCTTCCAAGGCGTCAATCGTCTCGGACTTATCTGCGTAGACGAGCGATTTCACATAACCCCACAAAAAATAGTCCAGCGGTGTTAGATCGCAAGATCTCGGAGGCCACGCCACAGACCGACGACGCGAGATAATGCACTCACCAAAAGTTTCCTTCAATAAATTGATTGTTTCGTTAGCTGTTTGGCATGTAGTGCCGTCTTGTTGGAACCAAAGGTCGTCCAATCCTCCAATTCAAGCACGAAAAAGTCATTAATCATGGCTCTATAGCCATATATGGACTCATTCGGGTCTTCTTCGATACTCTGCTCCACAGCAGTAATAGCGTCTTCGGTGCGCACTGTACGGCATCTCTGATGATGCGCATTATCCACTAGAGTAAACCGATCCATGGTTGCTCGAATTACCGACTCTGCTGGGCGGTTATGTCGGCCGAATATTTGACGCAGCGAACGATGCGTCGCGAGTACCGAACCATTATTTTGGTAATAAATTTGCACGATTTGCAAACGTTGTTCCGGAGTAACCGCCCTATTCGAACAACACTGATAAATTCATCATGTGACTGTTTTTACAATTACTGCGCCTAAAACACAATATAAACATTGTTTCGCCGTTGTCACTTACTCAGTAGGTCATAACAATAAAACTGACAATTGTCATATGACAGCTTAAAATAAATTTGCGGCATAGTATTAGGCGCAGCAGTAAAGGCAATAGTCAGCCGCTGAGTTTTGTCAGTGGTGTGGGAATAGGGCGGGAAGTCTGTTCATTATGGAATGGCAAACCAAACTGAGTATAAATCAAGTAACAGCTGTCAAAAAGACCAACTCCGAAAAAAATGCCTCTATGAAAACCCCACGTCCAAAAAACACCCTTTACATACTTACATATGTGCGGTATATATGCACCTATCAGTGATGAAATACTAACACTGTCATTGCGCATTTAGCAACGTATGCGCTTTATTGAGCTTTATTAATAACAAAATTAACAATTTATTGCACAACTAAGATCAGATCATAGTGTAAACTATTTTGCACTGCACGTAAATATCTGTATTAGAGTGCACCGCCAAAACATTCTATTTTTTTTAATTTTTCCAACGGAATTATAAAATTTATTATATTATAAGACTTCCGCCATAATATTTGGGAAGAATATTAAGATTTTCTTGAGGTGGACGGGTTTGAAAATATATTAAAAGATTGAGTTTTTCTACATAAAATTAGTTTTAATCATTTTTTCCCCAAAAAAATCACCTCAGATGACAGATTTTCATAGATGTTAGAGTTTAAGCTTAAGTTTATTTATAAAAAAAAAATCGATTTTGAAGATATTTTCAAATCGGGCTAGCTCATCTTAACCTTAGGCTGCGTTTCACCAGATTCATCTATGTAAGTGAAAATTACTTTAATTTTGGAATTTTTGGTTTCATTAATCAATTTAATTGGTTTTTAATTTTGATTTAAGTGACCTACCTGTTACACGTTTAATCAGCTGATCAATATAAACACACCAAAATATTGTGTATCAGCTGTTTACTGTATACCAGCCCTGCTTTTACTACCACTTTTAGCACGGTGCTGCCACATTGCTACTCACTTAAATAAAGAGCTTATTGAAACTGAAAAAATCTAATTGAGGATTAAATGGAAAATTAAATTTAAATTAATCTCCACTTAAATGCGTTTGGTGAAACACTGGCTTAATGTTTTTACGACATCTTTTCGGCAGCAGTCTTAAAATATAATTAACTGTAAAAATCCGATAAAAAAAAACAGTACCGCTTTGTTTTTATTGTGTAAAATGTGATGCACCCTAATGTCCCTAATGCAAGGGGCTAAACAGAATTAGATTAGAAAAATTATTAAATTAAAACTATTTGAAAAGTCGCAATGACAATGCAAGCAAAAGCAGTACTAGTGTTAGAAAAAATTTTACGTATGTATATAATTTACATATATATATTAAGTTAATACACATATGTATGTAAGTTGGCAGCGGGTGAGTGATCTCCACAAAATACGAGAAAAAATTTGTTTGCAGTCATAAGGCGCATACATACACGCCTACTTATTTGTAAATAAAAATTGCTTTAAGTGCATTTAGGTTACACATTAGTGATAGTAAGATGGGAATCAAGGCATTGAAAGCCGACAGAGAACCGTTTATGTATATAGTTTAAATAATTTCGGATAATTCAGTTGTTTTGTTTTCTACTTCGGAAAAAAGTGACTACGAAACTGGCAGTCAGACCCAGATAGCTAGCACTGTGGGAGACTTGATACTTCAGGCACAGGTTGAACATGAACTAAATTAGGAAGAACCATGGACTATACTTGTGAAACCGTATGGCGTTAAAACGCCTAAAGTATTGATAAAAAATTGCCTAAAATAGGAGAAATTGTTTTTTGCATCAAATCATCCTGCGCTACTGCAAAAACCAAAAAAATATATATTTTTTTCAATTTCATACAAAACTCGGAAAAATGCAAATAATTTTCATTGAAATTTTCTATTCGATTCTTAGTAAAATTTTTAGTACGCAGCTTTGTTGCCCATTAGCCGTTTTAGTATAATAGAGTTCAAGTTTCTAGTCGTTAAAAATTGACGCTGATTTTTGAGATTTTTATTTTCCGAAGGTGTTGCGGATTTTCTTCCATATCACATTGAAGATCACCATTGAACGCAAGAAAGAAGTACACAACACCCTCAGCGAAAAAAATGTTTCTAAGAAATCGATCAGTGAATTTCACGAAAGCAGTTTAAGTAAAAAAATATTCAAAATTGTTTGAAAGAAAATTGATTCTTGCGATTTTTGCTGTTGAATGAACAATATTTTTATAAAACATTCAAAAATATTTTCAAACTAAAACTTTCTTAAATCTCTTTCCTCTGAAACTGCGATACATATTTCAATTAACTGATAAACTAATTTGAATTTGACTTTATAGACAGGAGACAACTCTCCTACATAAAGTGTAGAAATAAAGCCTTTTCAAATCCATTTCGATTGATACATATACTTTAATAGATTATTTAACTTATTAAAAATGTTAACTCTAGTTTTTTAAATAGGTGTCACCCCTCTCCATATATGCCAAAATAATGCTATACGTTCAAACCGAAGATCTACTAAAATCCATATTTTAATATATTGATAATATTTCATATGCATACATAAATTGTGTATAAAATAATTCACTTTGACTTTTCAAACAGGTGGCAACGCGCTTCAAAATATTTTCTAACTCAAACCTTTTTAAATCGCTTTAGTCTAACATCCCTATTGTGATATATACATATGTAGTACATCGCTTCCCTAATTTCCGTAATTCAAGTTGAATTTGACTTTTTAAACAGATGGCAACCCTGCTGGATGTAATTTAGAAATAAAACCTTTTCAGAACATTTACGATTGGTACTCATAATTTAACTTATTAAATAACTTAAATTTAATTCTTAATAGGTGGCAACTCTCTGAAAAAAAATAAACCTTAGATAAACCTTATTACATCTACAAGCTCAGCCCTTTCATTTGACACCTGGTTTTTAAGAACCGAAAGACATTGACAAAAAATCCCCTCGCACTAGACTATAGATTGTAACCCATCTTTACTTTAAGAGTAATGTACGAGAGTACAAGGACGATTCCTATCCAGAAGAGAATGAAGAAAAAGCCGAGTGGCCGTTGAAGGAAAATGGACCGATGTAGTCTACTCTGAGGAACTTTATGACTCACTGTCATGTAAAATCATAGAAGTTAGAGTCGGGGAAAAGGCAAAATAAAAAAAAAAAACACCAAACCAAAAAAGTTGTGACAGTCAGGCGGCGTGGCACTTGGATGCCCTCTTGCAATAATTTATACGCATTTTCTTAACTCATTGGACTAGCTCTATGCACAGAACCAGGCTGGCTTAATTCATCAAAGCAAGAATTATTCGGAACATTACCAACCATTACAGGGCAAGAGCGCCTAGGTGAACAGATGGCAAGAATAGGACTTCTTTCAATAATGAATGTTTATGGTTACTTAGAACTGTTGTCTGATCAAGGAAATATCTGAAATGTATCTCTAAATAACACAATCGACTTACGTGTGTGTGACAGTCCCAAGTTTGTGCAGCTGTAAACAACGGCATAACTAGTATAATCGGTAGCTAAAACCCAATAAGGAGATGAACCGGGGAGAGCTGCAATGAGAACAAAAAGAACATTTAGAAAGTCCAGCAAAAAAAGTTATCAAAAAATCGACCAGGAATTTTAGAATATATACCTCAAACAAATATTTATATGTGCAGCATGTTTTCCTCAATTTCACTTTATTAAATGAGGGCACAATTTTTTGTGGTATGCAATTTATAATAGCCTTTATTTTATAAGTATTTTCCATATATTAAGTTGGCATAATGAATTCATTTTAATAAAAAAAAAAAACCAAATAACACCACTCTGTAACTGTCAAAATGTACAAATTTATACAAATGCATCTATCGCGCGATTTCGCCTTTAAGTTCAATAGTTAGTATGAAACAGCCAACCAACAAAAGTTCTCATTTTTTGCACCCCTTTACCCTGAGAACTGCTTTACCACTTGCGTAGCACTTGCTGGCTCTTTGATTGCTTTAAGGGCCAAAACTCTGCCCATCCCTGGCCTAAAGCACACCATAGCTCACTGAGCGCTCTCTGAGCACATGTGTGTTTCACACACACACGAACAGCGGCAGGGGAGCAATGCGCTGCAGTGAGAAAACAAAACCAGACAGTAAAAATACCAGTTCGACAATTTCGAAAAACTTAAGCGTTCAGCGACATCTGTCTTTGAATTGCTAAATATAAAACGCAATTAATTGCTTTTCTTACAAATGTCGGTTGTGGCATCGCTTGAATACTAAGGGTTCTCGTTCTGAGATCGCCGGTTCGAGTCCGCTTGGGGGTGGTTAAGATTTTTCAAATTAAATCAATCGTTTAATGTGTACGAATGCGTAAACAAAACGTAATTGGTTGATGATTACGTTTCTATGCATACTTTCAGGCTGGATGGAAAACAGTTTGAAAATCAATGGAATTGCATAACAGTTTGAGCGATATGTACATATGTGGTGAGCAGCAGGAATTTAGGCTTTTATATATTAGATGTAAGCATTCTGCCGGATCTCCACTGGGCAGTGGAATGACCAAATATGTGTGCCATTTAAGAGATGTCATATGGAAATTAATTGAATGACTACTTATTCTTATTAAAACAATAATACAGTTAGTTTTAAAAGCCTGTTTCCACCAAAAGCTTATCATTTTTGCTTTTTTAATTTAGTTTGCTTGTATTCAATACGAGTAATTAAAATCTTCGAGTTCTTATCTTGTTTTCCAGTAGGCATAAACTGCAGTTAAGGCTTGTTGGAAAGGAACTATTATGTTGGATTTTCTCTGGGCATTAAATGATAGTAAATATTTAATAGTCAATAAATTCATATCCACATGGCAATTTTTAATTACCTAACATTTTTTGTTATTTTAATGCCAAGTGGAAATTCAGCATTAGAGCCAAAACTGGCCAAACTTTGTCAATACCATTTTGGTGGTTTTAATGGCCAACGGAAATCCCGCATTATGAAAATTCGGCATAATTGTGTCTGGAATTTAAACTACGCACTACGAATATTATTTTACACTCACAGATTATGGCAGTGAAGGTAACTGAGAGTTTGCCAGGTCCTTCGATTGTTGCGACTCCTTCAATTGATTGCTTTGTATTGCTTTAGAAAAAAGGAGTACGCAAAAAAAATAAAAATTTTAGTTAAAAAAAAAACATGGTAAAACTTGAAACAACTCACAGTATTGTAGTTTGTGTGTTGAGTACCGTAACCTGGGTGTCGGACTTAGCACCATACTCAGCTTGGATACATTTACCGCCGGCTTCAAAGATGAAGGGATACTTGGCATATTCATACCAAAGGCCCAGATACTGAAAAAAAAATATATTTATTATTTTTGAATAATTTGATGGAGGAATATTTTTTAGAAATATATCCAGTTTTAGAACTAAAAATAGCCAAAATTTTGTTAAAAATGTTTCGCTTAGCAAAAAAAAAATTGTGTACTGTAAATTGAATATATTACTATAGTTTTAGAATTAAGAAAATGTTTATGCAACGAAAGTATGGCAACATTACTGTGAAACAATATATAAAAATTTAGCGTCACTTTGTTTGTTCTGAAATTTTAAGTTTTATCGTTAAAACTTTTTGCTTTAATTGAAACCCAAAAATTTGTTACACCAAATTTATTGTAATTTAATAAAATGCAAATACGGCAACATTAGTCTGAAAAACTTTAAATTTTAGGCACAAAAATACTTTTTTCCAAATAGTTTGTGGTATTTTAACTGCAAATTTTGTGCTATAAAATTTCTTGCGTAATGAGAGGATAGCAGCGCTTTTATATTTAGAATAAGTGGCAGCACCAGTGTTAAGAAATTAAGAAAAAATGCATCGTTTAGACTTTTTTTTTTAATTGAAACCAAAAATTCTTTACACTAAAGTTATTGTAATTTTATAAAATGTAAATATGGCAACACTAGTCTGGAAAACTTCAAAAATTTGGGCACAAAAATACTTGTTTGCTAATGGTTTTCAGTATTTTAACTGCAAATTTCGTGCTTTGAAATTTCTTGTGTAATGAAAACATGATAGCGCTAAAATGAAATTTTACAGACAAAAAAATGTATGAAATTTAAAAGTTTTAGGCCCAAATTCACAGTGCGTAGTTAACTCAGAATCGGCAGTTAACTACAGTCTAAAAATATTAGCTTGGCTTGACTTAGATATATGTAGTAGTAAAATATTTTAAATAATGGAAATATGGCAACACTAATGTAAAAAACAAAATGCTCAAACCACATTTAATTAAACATTTAATATTACTTTAAGTTTTGCGCTAAAAGGATAAATAACAATTTTAATACATCCTTTATATTCTTTAAAAGTTTAACGAAAAAATTTTTTTTTTTAGTTTACAAATTTTTTTATTTTTATTTGAATTTAATATGAAAACTGACAGCAGGGAAAAAACAATTTTTCCCTAGCATATCCTATTGGAATTTAAAAAATTAAATATAATTTTGTGGCAACACTTTTAATTTTCAAGGCGAGTGTATGGAAATTCCCATCCAAACAAAAAATAAAAGTTGACATTTATATAAGCTTTACAAACTTTTGAAGCATTAATTTTCTATTTGTAAAATTCTATTTTTGTATGTAGTCATAAATAAATACTGAACTTTTTAAAAGCTGATTAGACAGCGGAATGGTCAGATGTATGCACAAAAGTTTAAAAAATAACGTGGCAACATTAAAATTAACGAAAACACATATTGATTTGGAAGACAATTTAGTACTCAAATATCAAACCAATCTAAGAAAACCCAAGTGGCTGCCCTTTTAGTTTATTAATTATATACATTAGGGTGGGTCTATTTTTTTGTAATTTTTTCGCACAATTTGACCCATCTTAATATACATTTAAATACATGGACGATGGAATAGATATTTTTCGAAAAAACAGATCTTCTCACAGACTAAATAAGGATTGGCTTTCCATTTCATCGGTTTTTGGGAGTTTTCACAAAACTATCATGTTGTCATGAACCTTAGCGGGGATGTAAAAAGTCGTATAGATTTACACTATTTATCACTCTTTTCACTTTATTAGTAATAGTATTTAATTAATTTGTTGTTAAATTCTTTGCAGTTTCACTAGCTAATTTTCATATAAAAAGAGCACTTAACGCGTACATTTTGATAAATATACGATCTTTGCAATGTTAACGTGTATTTTGTATACATTAAATTAATTTTGTTTTATTTTTTAACAATACAAAACGCGTTAAATAATTTTTGCACTTTTTTCAACAAAGTAAACAAGCAAACAAATCAAAATGGCTGTAATGGTGAATAGAAAGGTGCTACCAGGTCTTGGAAAATTAAATACCCTAAAATGAAGGGATGTTCAACAATCTACTTTTGTTTCAAAATGATCTTGATAACATTAGGAAATAAATGAGTATAATGTCTGCGGCGCTTAAAAAAAATAAATAAATAAATAGTTTTTTTCAAATTTGGACCAAATTTCAGGAAAATTTTCCCCTAAATAAAAATAATATAATCACATTTTGGCCATCCTAAGTTTAAGGGAAATTTATTCTTAATATCTAACTTTTAGTTTATTAACTATATAGGAGGAAGATAAAAAATATGTATTTGGAAAAATATTTTAAAATTATTTGTGTAACATTGCCTTGTTAAAAAAATATTTCCTATAAGTACATTTAGTGTTAATTTAATTTTTTTCCTTATTCTTTCTGATTGCCGCTGTAACCGCCCAAGCGGCTCGTCGTTAATTGCCCTGCTCTTGAACTCTAACTTCAGAAGTACAAATGTATGTATGTAGATATGTATATTCCTTGTTTATGCGAGCATATTTGTTTGGAAGAGTACTTACCGCAGTCACATTAAAGTCTTGCACCGTGGTGATATCTTTGGGACAACGGCCCAAATGGAAAACTTGACTGGCCACCATTTGGGTGGATGCCAGCAAAATGACTGACAAGCAGGCGCTAGAAGGATACAAAATTATTAGAAATTTTAAATATTGAAAACAACAACAAACAGATTTTTAAAACAAATTAATAGTTAAATTGAATGCGTGATTCATAAACAGTGTGAAACTTACAGGCTCAATTGTTGCTTCAGCATTTTGGTACGGATCTAGTTTTAACTTTTTTTTAATTATTTGAAAACGAAACTCAACCGGTATTAAAGAACTCACTAAAACCGTCCAACAAATTCCGCGTATCAAGTAGCAATGGCAAATAAAGCAAACAGTCGAAGTTTTATAGCAAATTATCGTAGCCGGTTTTTTGTTTTGCCGGTAATCGTTCGCCATATACTAAAAAAAAAGATATATATACATGATATATGCACATGTACTCACTCACACAGGTACGCGAGCAAACGCTTTATCTAATGTTTATCGCAATGTCAGTAGTTGCTTACAATCATATCTATGATCGCTTTGTCATTTGCTTTTGTTTTGACAGTTCTCTATTAATTTTTAACACTACTAACTATGTCTGTAGATAAGTTTGGTATTTGCTGTTTTCATTCAAGAGGGCTAATCAGTTGAAAGCATCCCTGTAGGGAAAATGTAATGTTGTGTGGTGGTGAACTGGTTGTAAATAACTAACAATTGAAAACGAGCTGAAATTACTTTAAATTGGAAAAAAAATAATACTAAATACTAAATGACAAATAGAGAACTAGTTGGCGTCCAGTTGGAAAGGGATTCAAAGAGTTTAAATTACTTTAAATTGAAAGTAAGAAATGTTGTTTTTTTTTTAATGTAGCTCTCAACTAGTCGTAAAGTGGTGAAATGGGGCCCAGTTGAAACTTTACACATATTTTCAAGGTTTAAAGTTGCTTCCTTGATTAACTTCAACTATTTATGTCCCCTATAAGCCGAGGAGATTTAAAAAAAAAAAAATCTAAATTTTTCGCAATTTTTTGTTGGTATTTGTGGCGATGTTTCGTAAAAATTTCATGATCTCTTGGAGCTATTTTACGGGTTCTACGCAATGTTCTTATTCGAAATTTTAGGGAGGCATTTATGGGTCATTATGGATATATACACTTGTGATCAGCTGATTAAGTTAACTGCTATTTTGATCAGTTTTCGTAATTTTTCTTTTTTATTTAATGCTTATAATTTCATATAAAAGTCTGGCAAATTACATAGCCAGCACACATAAATCCACATTTCAAGCTTCGTAAAAAAATTAACCAAATTCAACAAACTTTAACAATTACACCCAAAAATTTTAAACTTTTTATTACAATTTAAAGTTTTGTATGTCAAAATGCAAGACGCCAGAAAATCGCGTTGATTTTTAATACTTTTTTCGGCTACCACTTTGGTATTCCTTTAAAGTTATTTCAAAATGTTCCGCAATTTTTTTTTGTCTATTTGCGACTTAGCGAAATTTTTCTAAACGAACTGAAACCTCATTCGTAATTTTATTTTTTTTCCACGGATAATTTCCAGATCTGACTTTCTCGAAATTTTTTCTGACGTTCCGAATTAATTCGAGAACTTAAGAGGTTTTTAGGCTCCACGAAATTTTTTTTTTCTCATAACTTATTTTCTCGGAAATTTTCTCTAAACCATGTCTTTCCGATTTTAGTCGGTACATTTATAGATTTTTTTGGGTTCGCTATTTTTCAGAGTTTGAAAAGCTCGAAGATACTGATTTTTTTTTTTTTTTTTACTAAGACTTTTCGTGTTTTTTTTTGTATTTTTCGATTACAAGTTTAATTTTCATAAGGTTTCCGAGATTTTTTTGTTAATTCGAAAATTACGTGAAATTTCAGAACTATGCGGGACTTTTACTGCTTTTTTGCTATTTTTCGAAAGTTCTTTTTTCCAGATCCTTCAGTCTGTCTTCACCGGATATTTTCTAGATTTTTTGACTTACTGAACATTTTTCGTGTTTTTGCAGATTTATTCAGAAGTTTTCCGGTTTTTTGGGGCTCGCTATTTTCCAAAATATTTCAAGACTTTTGGAGCTTTGCCAATTTTGTTTTCAAGTTCTGTTCACGAATTTTGTCAGTTTTCGAAATTTTCGCCAAACCTGCGGATCTTTTTAATTTTTAATTTTTTGAATTTAGGTATGGGTTATTCGAAATTTTTCGGGTCTTCCTGTTTTATTGTGGACCTTTTCGGGTTCTTTGAGGTTTTTTAACTTTTCTTTTCATAAAAGTTTAAGAATTAAAAAAGCTAAAAAACATTAAAAGCAGACGTTTTCGGCTTATCTTACTGGAGATGTTAAAAGTCTACACTTTACTAAAGCTCTGTCCATTTTACTATAAAATAAATGATTTAAAACCATAGTTAAAAAAAAAAAGTTTCCTACGGGGTCATCACCTTTAAGTGTTCGTCAGTACGTATGAGTAACTCATGATACAAAAAGAAGTTCGTTTCATTTAAACATTTTTGACAAAAAATAAGTTTTTGAAGTTTCATAAATTGTACAAAATTACGAGCTACCTTGCCACATTGATAGCAATCAAACAAAACATCGGAGGATTTAATGTTTTGCGTGGGAAATGTTCGGTTATTTGTACAATGATTTTTTGGTGGGGAGCGGAGAGGGAAGGGGTGTCACCTAAAACTGATTAGAAAGAGCACAGTATAAACTTTAAGAAAAGTTATCCTTCACCTTCCTGCCCCTTCTACGGGCACTCGGGGGCCCATTTCAAAATGGGGTAAAATCAGAATTTTCGCAAAGAAAAATTAAACTCGTCTAGGCTGTCAGCAGTATTTTTGCGCAAAACTCCGTTCCGCGTTGGTGGCCATCAGCGGTATTTTTGCGCAAAATCCATCTCCAAATTTGAAAAAAGTGCATAGGTTTCTTAAACCGGAATCTTTGTTTAAATTAAGGCATTATCCTTTGGATAGACAGGTATGGTAATTTTTTTTTTAATATGGCCACGCTTTTGGACACGATAACCTAAAATCATTGTATAAATAACCGAACCGTACCCAAACTGCAGTAGTTTTCGTCGTATGTGGCTAAATCTTGTCACAAATACATAGTTGCGTGCATATGTTTATTTATATATATTTTTTAGCAGCGCCACATCTTGTATCAGAAAATTCCGCTAACCCAAAAATTGGTACTGTTACAAGTTGCAGGGAATCATTTTAACATGACCTCCTCCCTCTTTCACGGATAATGATACATCGTTTAGAGGTTTAAAAATATTTTGCATCAGCAATTTGTCATCAAACTGCGAAAAACTTTATTTTCGAACCTTTGCTCAGGTGCACTAGACTTTTCTTTTACGGCCCGATTCTGTGCACTTGATAAATAAATTTTTTTTTTTACAATTTGGCAATTTTTTATTACTTATCAAGAAGAAGAAGAAAATTCTAGCACCGAAAACAAAAGCTCTTTTCTTAATAAATTATCAATATTGGAAATGCTATTGACAAGCGTTTACAAATTGAAATTTCATACGGAAATTATAAAATTTATATGTACACTGCCGGAAAGAAGTATTGGCACAGCGAATTTTGCGCAATATATGCACCAATTTCTATTCTAAGTAATATTTTTCCGCTAATTTTTTATAAAAATACGGTTCATTCTACAACAAAAAACATAAAAATATAGTTTCTAAAGTTTGTGCAAACTCGCGAAATTCAATGAATTTTCCTGCAAATTTTCAACTTTTTAATCAGATTTTTCCGAATTTTTTTCGGGTATGCGGTTTTGTAGCCCATTAAATTGTAGTATAACAAATGCAAGTTTGGAGTTCGTTAAAAATCGCACAGATTTTTGAGAATTTTTTTGTTAAAAGTGTTTTGCATTTTTTCCATATAAAGTATTTTCGATTTTTTTTTTATACTCAAAAAAATTATAAAAAATCTGATTAAAAAGTTGAAAATTTTCTGAATTTTCGCGAATTTTGCACAAAGTTTAGAAATTATATTTTTATGTTTTTTGTTGTAGAATGACCCATATTTGTAAAAAATTGGCGGAAAAATATTATAATAAAAATATATGCAATATTGTAAAAAGCAGCTGTGCCAATACTTTTTGCCCGCAGTGTATGTATATTAAAAAATTTGTTTCTATCATTTAAATACTGCATATGCCGGCATTTGAACCTGCAACACATAGAATATACTCGGCTACGGCAGTCAAAAGCTTTTTGCTTTTAAATTTATATCTTTCATGCCCGCGGGACTCGGGGGCGCACGCTGGCAAATAAAAATTCACCAACCTATATCGAAATGCATCCATTTTTTCATAGATAAATGCAGAAATGTTTATTACAGAAGTTGTTTTTAAAAATTTTCGTCCAAGAGGCACAGAAATTGCTTAAAAGTTAAATTTTTCATAAAAAAGTTATTGAAAAGCAAAAAAAATATATTTTTCTAACGCAAATAATTTCATTGTATAGTTTAATGTTTTTTAAATCTGCACCCAAAAAAATATTTTCATTCAGACACTTTCAAAGAAAAATAAAAATTTCCAAAACACTGCAAAAATTTTCAATTGTTGATAAAAAAAATACTATTTGGAATTTTGCAACAAAATTTACACAGTGTACTTTACTACAAATCTCGGCGCTGCCTGATTATCATTGAAAAATACTAATCTTAGTAAATTTGGGGCCCACTTGAGGAAGCCTTACCCATGTGACAATGAAATAAGTTCCACTCATGTGGAAATCGTAGTTTTTTATAAATATTGACACAGAATGCGATGGGAGGCTTTTACTTGTTAAAAATCTTGATACAATTTCTTTACAAATAATTTCTATTTCTTTCTTTTTCAAGAAAAAAAATGTTGCTGCTAGATTAATTAGCATGATTTTAGTGAAATGTCATAAACTTGTTAAAAGTGAAGTGGTCGGCAACAGCAACGACTGTTATTAAATGAAACTACCTTTTATTTTTGTATCATAGAGTAACTGTGAGAATAAGTAAGTCTAGAGCCATACCAAAACAGGGGTTCTTCTAGGAAATATAAAAGATTTAACAAGTGTTTCCTTATCGTAGTTAATTTTGAACACATATGTATGTATAAATGTATTGATGCCTCGAGCATACTAGGAAAAAGTTGCTTAGGAAAGTAAATTAGACTACTGGCGTTCAAGTGTCAAGCAGATAAGGTAACAAATATTATTTTATTTACACATTTTATATTGAACGGATTTAAAAGCTAAGAAAAAACAACTTTCCGCTTATGTATTTTCATAATACATTTACATAAT